TTGGGTTAAAAGCTCTAGCTTACCTCCAACTTTTTTTGGAGGTAAAGTTTCTAGATGAAACTTAATTTTATGAATTCATTATAAATAAGATCTCAGAACATAAAGACTCTTTTGTGAGGGATAAAGAGCGTAGCTTTTTAAAATTTTTTTTATAATGCCCTAGTTGTAAGTCATTTTTCAGTTTGGAAAAAATTCTTGATGGTTAATTCCTGCAAAGAATTAGGTTAAGTGTATCAGAACTAATACTAAATTAGAATCTTTAGAAAACAATCTAATGTATTTTCATTTCCTGGGGCTACCAATGGAGGACCAATTTAGCAAGTCAACCCCTATGGTATTTTAGAGAATTTGCCAATTTTCATCTTAATGAATTTAATCAACTATATGTAGATGTTAGAGAGGAGAGTCCACCAATACCAGGAAGGCCGGAAAGAGAGCACTTCTGACAGTGCTTTCCAATTGCCAGTAAGTTACATTTATTAATATTACCACATTCCCGGTATGTGCACTGAGTTTTTCTTAGCAAAACGAAAGTGGTCAGAAAAGAAATTTAGGAATATGGGACTCAGGTATTTCATTGCCTCATATGGAAATAAGTTGTATTTCATTTAAACGTGTCAGGAACAAACACTCACTTTGGTAAAGTGCCTCAATAGCTGATGACTTTGACTGGTGAACAAGTCTAATGTTGGTACTGAACTTTCTTTCCTAAAGGAAAAATCTGAAGGTCAAAAAGTGAAAATAATGCTTCTGGCTTGTTTTCCTTGTGCTTTATTCTCAGCATACCACTTTTGAGTCAAGGTACTTCTTGGTGCTGAGCAGGAAGCACCTTGTTAACCTGTCTCTTTTCACACTTCATTCTGGGGTTTGCAGCCATTATCCTGTTGTCAGTAGGTGCTAATGGAGACCTGGGCGGTAAAACCTTCCCAGTGTCTGAATATTTTATACAGTGCACAGCTTTGTAGAGCCACAGTAGTTGGGTGTCAGAGGGTCCTCTTGAGCTCGACCGTGGTGAGGCTGAAAGTCAATCTGAAAAATAAAACACAGAAACTAGCTTTAGCTATATCTACAGTTTGTTCTTATTCTATGCCTATACTCAAGAAAAACAAAATGTACTTCAAAAAATGTATTTGAAGTTCCGGCTAATTAATTTACTCAAATAACTGACGACTGCTGGTTTTTCTTGGGCGTTTTTTTTTTTTTCCTTTTCAAATGGTAACATGTTGTGACACTGGCAAAGTAATTCTAAACTCCCTCCTGCCTCCACAGAGAGCAAAAACCTTGTAAAACCTAAAAATTTGGTAGCAGATATCTAAATTTTATTTAAGTAGAGCTTAACCCCTGGGTCAGTTAAGGTAGTGTTTCTCTTTTAAGTTAAATTAGCATGTAAATAATGTAAGTGTAACCAGAAATGTAACAAGGGGTACTTAATACGCATCAAATTTATTTCTAAAATATTGCAGTGATTCGAACCCTGAATTCTAACCAGATGTACTTCCGGAGTATTACACAGGTCATATATATTTCACTTTTTGGGTTCAAACCCAGGGGCTCGACATGATAATTAGATTGAGAACATCTGCGCCAAATCCAAACCATTTCTCGGATCCTTCCTTGAGCCTCCCCATGGGAGGGCTTTTCTTTTTTTTTTTTTAGCTCCTGCACATTTTATTTGTCTCGCCACCTTTAGGGCAATTCCGAGTTCTCTACTGCCTGCCAACACACCACCAGGAGGGGAAGGCAGACCCCCACCCCAGTCCCCGGCAGCGTGAGTGAGGAGTCGTCTAGCTGTGGCATTACGTAGGGAAGGGAACAGCCGGAGGTGGCAATGCCGTTTCCCGCCCGGGGCCTGTCTCCGGGACAGGGCGTGGCCAGGCGCGGGGGGCCTGGGCGCGCGGGTGGGCACGTGGGCGGGGACCAGAAGGCGCCAGTGTCGTGGCGCCGCTGCCCTCTACTGGGCGGCGCGGTCGGAGCTGCAGCGCGGCTGCCAGCCGGCTGCGCGCGGGCTCCGGCTCCCCACACTCGGGCAGTTCTTGGCGTCGGGAGATGCGTAGTGCCCTCGACTGGCGCGGCTTCAACGCCATCCGGGACCCAGGTCCCGACGAGCCCTCCCGCCGCCGCCCGCCTCCCGTTCCTCCTGCTAGTCCAGGCTGCGACGGGGACACTGAGGGAACCTCGCTCCAGACCTCGGGAGACCCGCATTGACACAAGCGAGGCGCCAGGTCCGGCGCACGCGACCCGGGGGCGCGTGTGTCTCTAATCTTGGGGACTTTCATTTCCAGCCCGTTCCTTTCAAAATGCTGAGTTGACTCCAACGATCAGCGCTAAATCCTCGAACTCACTTGTAAGGCAATTATAATCCACTTACATGTTTTATTGTGTATTCCATACAGATTTTATTTACCTATAATTTTCAAGATTAAGGAATTTGGGGATTTGTTTTAACTAATTACACGTCAAATGAAGTGCGGGAGAGTGAAAGTACAGTATTCCTACTGGAAAGTCAAACTCACACGTGTGTGCATAATCAATTAAAGACGACGACCATAAAACGTGCGCTTTTGCCAGATTTCTGCGAAGTAATCAAAGCGAATTTACTTTTTGTTTTAAACGTTACTATTTCTGAAAACGAGGGACCATATTTTCTGTGATCAGAGCACCCACACTTTCCAAGTTTCTGCACCCAAAGGCGTGAAAACCGAGGTGTCTAAACTACAGGAAGTTTCTTGGGCTGTTCCGCTGAAACCAAGAGAGGGGTATATTGATTGTGCTCCAAGACTTCTGTCGTGGCCTAGGTTGGCACAGCTCGGGCTGATCCGGGCCACTGGACCCCTGGCCACGGAACTGCGGAACGTTTCTGCGCGGCGAGGGGACCGTGCGGCCACTGTGCCTGTCATTAACATGAGCAACGACAACAGGGTCAGGGCTGTTTTCCCCAACTCCACCATTCCCCACAATAAGAAACGCGGTCCTTCGCTGGCCCGGTGTCCGAGTGCCAGTGGCCTGCTCGGGGCGGGCGGCGGCAGCCGACCGTCGACGCACCCGCACGCGCGCTG